AGGATTGCTGAACTTCATAGATGGGTTATGGTCAAGCTGTGGGGATGAAAGGATTATAGTGTTCACTACCAATCACAAGGACCGGCTTGACCCAGCTTTGCTGCGCCCTGGTCGAATGGATATGCACATCCACATGTCCTACTGCACTCCGTGTGGGTTCAAAATGCTGGCTTCCAATTACCTCGGGATTACAGAGCACCCGCTCTTCTTCGAGATTGAGGAATTGATAGAGAGATCGAAGGTGACCCCTGCAGAAGTAGGTGAGCAGCTGATGAAAGAAGAGGTGCCTGAAATTGTGCTACGAGGTTTCATCGATTTTCTTGAGGCCAAGCTAGAAGAAGGTCGAGAAGCTGAAGCTGAAGCTAGAAGAGTAGCGCAAGCAGCAGAAGGTGGGAACAAGCCAGAAGACAAACAAGGTAAGAGCAAGAAACAGGAAGATAGAGGGAACCAACAAACACTAATGCTTCAGTAAATCGCTGTAGTTTTCTGGGAGAAGAGGATTATGACTCTGAAGAGATAGATAAAACTGGCCTAATAAATACCAAGTAATGTCTTGGTTACTTTGTTTTCTGGGAAATGCAGAAATAATGGCATGAAATCATCCTACTATGCAAATGTAACAAGTCAATTAAGTCGATCAATTTCCATATTTCTGAGCATCTTTGAAAGTTTATTTTGGTAACAGAAATATTGACTTAAAAAAATAACGATCTGCAGCAGATGTTAGGGAGCGTTAAGTTCATTGTGACAAGTAATGACAGAATTGAGTATCATCTTCTCGCGTCACAATGAGACCAAACCCAAAAAAATATTAGCGAATTCGCCATTGCTGATTTCAACCTTTATCGAAGTTTTTGGTTGCTTTTAATTGGATGATATATGAGAGTTGTTAATGCTATGAATACAGGAACTTGTATATTGCCCTATGCACTATTTATCTTCTGTGGAGTAACATCTGATCCTCACCTGTAACTTGTAAACTTCCACACATCTGATCAATTCATGTTTCGTTTTTCTCAAGTGTCTTTAATTCTTTGGTTCGGATAATCATCTGTTAACACCACCAAGAGCTTCAGCGAAAGCCGTAATTTTTGAACCGGAAACGTCCCAGCTTGATCATTAAAAAGCATCAAATTTCAACTGAAAGCTGGTTTTGACCACATCTAGGCAAAAAAAAATTTATCATTTTTCATAAGAACAGTAAACTATTAAATTGGCAAACCAAAATATGCTTTCGCATGAATTATAACTTCCTTTGTGCTTGCTATTCACCAATGGTTTCTACCATGATGTTTTGTGTTGTATGAGCCACTTCATTGTCAAAATTATGATGCCTACGCTCCTAGTGACTGACTAAGTAATGTTTTAGCTAGTAATCAATTTTGATTATCACTGTTCATAGCTTGTTTAGCAAGTTTGTAATATATATCAACATGTTAATGAATATCAGTTGCACAACTCACTTTGTTGCGGCATCTCTTCATCCTATGACCTTTGTTGCAGCATAGTTTTTTCTCTTTCCGTTTGCTGCATACATATTAACTGCTTTGCACTTAGTATATATCAGAAAAAAACTCTAAAGTGGAAGCACTTTACCCCTTTCACCACCAATTTTCCATGGTGAAAATTATAATGTTTGTGTAATTAAAATGAAAGTCTTCCTTAGAGCTTTTGATCTTTGGGAGGTAGTTGAATGAGAAGGAGAGCCTCCTGAGCTGAGAGCCAACCCCACCATAAATCCAATGAGACGGCATAGTAAAAAAGTAGCCAAAACATACAAGGCTCTATCTTACTTCACACTATTGTGATAGATACAATATACACAAAAATCATGCCTTGTGAAATAGCTAAGGAAGCTTAAGATAAGCATAAAGAGGAGTTCCAAAGATCAAACAGAACTAGAAAGATGCAAGTTTTGAACTTAATAAGATAATTTAAAATATTGAAGATGAAGGAGGATGAGGCAGTGAAGGACCTTGTGAACAAGCTAATGAAGATTGTCAATCAAGTGAGACTTTTGGGAGCTGAGTTGTCAGATGAGTGAATTGTGAAAAAGATGCTGGTTAGTATTCCTAAGACATTTAAGGCAAAAATTGCAGCTTTTCAGGGATCAAAAAATGTCACTAGAATGACCTTATAAGAGTTAGTTAATATTCTTCAAGCTTTTGAAGCAAGAAGGCAAATCAGTCTTGAAGAAACGATAAAGATAACTTTACAAGCAAGGCTTAAAATGAAAATTGTTCTTCACGACTCAAATAGAAAGTCTCCAAGTGAATAGAAAGATAGAAAAATGCTACTTCAAATTAGAGGCAATACGTTAAGAAAATCAGAATTTTTTTTTTGAAAGGCAAAAAAACAATCAGAAATTTAGTTTGTTCTTACTACAAAAAGACTAACCATGTTGAAAAGTATTATTGGTTTAGGCCAAATGTTAAGTGCAAAAAGTGTAATCAGCTTGGCAATGTGAAAAAAGTATGCAAAAACAAAGGAAATGTGCAAAATTAGCAAGCTCAAGTTTCAGAAGAAGTTGAACTTGTTGAGGAGTTGCTTTCATGGCTTTAGAAGGCAATATGACAAAGTCTAGTAAAACATGGTTAATTGGCAGAGCATGCTCTAGTCATTTAACTTCAAACACATCCTTGTTCACCTCCATTGATAGGAACAAGAGTGCAAATATTGAAATCGGAGATGGAAAGTACCTACAGGCTGTAGGCAAAGGTACTGTTGTTGCCACTACACCAAATGGGAGTGGGTATGTTCAAAATATGTTCCTAATACCTCAAACATGAACAATGAGGGATGAACACGGACATGTTAAGATCATTTTCTCGAAGGCTATAGGCATAGGGGATTCAAACCTTGCTGAAATTAGAGCAATTCGGGAAGCTTTCTTGTTGTTTATTCCATCCAAATGGAATCAATCACACAGTTTGATAATTGAGAGTGACTCATGTAATGCTGTTAAATGGGTGAACAAACCTTTGGAAGCACCCTGGAGATTAAGAAAGTGGGTTCTCCATATTGAACAATTGAAAAATGATGTACGAAGATGGGAGGTGCGGCACACTTTTAGAGAGAATAACAAACTGGCCGATCGACTTGCAAAAGCTGGGG